ACGAGCTTTATTAAGGGTTTACTTAAATTGTCAGACTTCATAAATCAATCACGACCCTCATTAAGGTCTCCCATTTGATCTCAGATACACCTCTTTTGATTGTGCCTGTGCCCGGACAAGCGGTTGAGAAAATGGATGGATGGACATGAATGTTTCTTGGTTTCAGACTCTATGCAGATCATAAACAGCGCATAGAGACAGATCATGTGACAAGACAGAGAGCAGTTTCACAGCGGACCACTTAACTAGTCCGGTTTATTGAGAGCGATCACTTCATTTTTCTGGTTAAGTAAAAGTCTGAAAGCTCATCCGTGGATTAATGCTATTAGCTAATGAGCTAAAACAACAAGCACCCAGAGCTGCAAACTCATTGGTTTTTATTTTAGAACACACTAAACTAAGACCTACACTGGCCACTTTGTTAGGTACATTTGTTCATCTGCTCGTTGATGCAAATAATTATTAATCAACCAATCACACGATAGCAACCTGGTGTATTTAAGCATGTAGACATAGTCATAATAACCTGATGAAATTCACACCGAACATCACAATGAAGACGAAAGGTGATTAAAGTAACTTTGACTGTGGCATAGTTACCGATAGTATTTCATAAACTGATATGCAGTGAGCGACAGTTACTCTGGGCTAAAATCTGAATACACAGCACATTGAGACCTTATCTAGCAGCAGAAGACCACATCGAGTGCCCCTTCTGTCAGTGAAGAACGTGAAACTAAGGCTTCAAATCTTCTATGAAGAATTTCAATTGGTATGAAGATTGAAGGACGTTGTCTGGTTCAATCAATATTGATTTCTGGTGTGACACTGGTAGGGCCAGGAAAACCTCAGAAAGTATGGATCCATCATCCTTGTATCAACAGTTCAGTCTGTTGGTGGTGTGGGGGATGTTTTCGTATCACACTTTGGGCCCAGCAGTACCAACCAACCTTCCCTTTATGACCACAGTTGAAGCTCAAATCGTCTCCAACTATTTTCTTGAACATGAAAACTATACTCAAATGCCTCACAGTCATCAGATGTTAATCCTGTACAGCAGCTTCAGGATGCGGTGGTATGGGAGATTGGCATCATGGGTTATGCAGCACATGTGTGATGCTGACAAGTCAATGTGGACCAAAAACCTAGAGAAGGGTTTCAGCTTCCAGGAACAATTAAGGAGGTCCAACCCAGTACTAGCAAGGTGTGCCTAATAAAGTGGCCAATTAATGTATATGAGTTGACTCTAAATGAATAGTATTACTGAACTTAAAATTGAACTGGAAAACAGTAGCACACCCTTTTGTTCTGGAGTTCTTAACTGTACTATCCAGAAAGATTTTATACACACCATGATGTGGCTATTAAAGTTCTTGACCTTTAACACAAGAGCAGTGACGCTGCTGTATGGTTTCTCCACCTGATAGCATTAAATACCCTGCTTTTTACATAACTTGCATCACTTTTTCATGTTCAGCCTTTTATTTTGGTGGTTTGATTGTTTTGGGTTGCAAAATGCCTGGGTGTTAAAATGCAGTCACACATTTTATGCTCAATTCCATTAGGCGCTAATGTTAATGTGGCTGTGTTAAATAGATGTTTACATAAGGTGAAGCCAAGCTCATAGTGAAGCTAACCCAAAATCAGCCACGGTATATTTAATCATACATAATGGCTGGCACACTGGTTAAACAGAATCAACCCGCATCAGCCACACACTCGGTTGATTTTTTACTCGGCACTCTCACTCATTTGAGTTAACTTCTCCCACATTCTCAGGCCCACCCTCTGCTGCACCTCCTTGTCCATCCATCCATCTGATTGACAGGTTATGAGCCAATCCCGGCACAAATGACTCTGAAACACCAGGAATCCAAACCAGCTGGGTTCAATCAATCTCACTTAAACTATTCTCCATCGCAGCCACGCTGCCTAATACTGAGACAGCAGAGAGGGCAGTTCCACTGTAATGTTATCAAATCGCTTCTGAAGCGCTGGGGCGATCACTCTCCTGCAGATTAAAGGGGAAGAGGAGGGTAAAAGGGATTTGTGTGTGAAGGGGGGAGGAGGAAAAACAGAGGAGTAATTGTGCCTTTTATTTCTGCGTTTTAGGTTGTGAAAGCAATCGTGAACAGGGTGAGAAAAAAAAGGGTAGATACAGTGTCAGACATCAGTTAGGTATGAGGAGAAAGTCATAATAGCAGCTAGACTTCTGTTAAAAGGGGCGATAAAATTGAACCGACACAGCCATCTGTGTTTGGGCCAGGGAAAACGTGGCAAGTAGAAACCCCTGAGGCTTATGTCATGACAAACTCTGCTATGAGGACAAACACTTGTAAAGAATCGTTCGGACTCTATTGACAGTGCTTCCTCTGCTGAGGGTGCGCGCCCTTCGTTCTAGGTCTGATGTCATGGGGAAAGTAAATTTATCCACAAACCCTCAGTGGTGAACAAGTGAACTTTCATTATTGCAGATTCTGTCGACCCACAAATAACTTCACTCAAGAGACAGAATGATTGATACTCTTCATCATCTCTGCCTCCCTCCTCAGCCCCCCTAATTCAATTCCAAATAACTGCAAAGCTGTGTCACCCATACCAAGGAACTCACCAACACAGCAAGGCTATTGATCCACAAACACCACAGAACCTTATGCATTTTTCCACATCGAATGAAAGAGCGAGAGAAGGAGAAAAAACAGACCCCCATCCTTGCGATAGCTCCTCAGAGCTCAAAAAAGAAGGGATTGTAATAAGTCCACTGTTGCACCTAAGGAAAAAATGAGCACATGTGTAATGTGTATTTCACATTTCACAGAGGAAACATCATCCTAGATAAATGTTCTTAATTTTAGTCTCTCATTATAATTAATCAAACTGCACGCACGCACACACACAGAATCCCAGCCTTCATTTCACTGTCCTTTTCCCGAGGTTACTACCAGTCAGCATCCTTCTCCACTCCTGAATAGTCATCATTTTTCTAGCCACAGCGGTATAATCGGCCCCGATCAGGAAGCCCCCGGACTCTGAATGAAGCACTTTTTATGCAGAAAAGCCCAACAGCTACAGTACTCTCATCTTTCTGTTTTCAGCAGGGAAGGGGGTGAGCTACAGCCGAACAGCACGACGGTGTTGATGGTTTCTCACAGACCCTCAAGTCTATGTACATTTCAGCAGGGCTTCAAATTTATCACATCAAAGACACAGCAAATTGCTACATAATTCAGTTTAGAAAAAAAAAAATCTGCCAAGACTGCAAAAAACAAAACAAAAAAGGTAAAGGGGAAGAAAATAATGTCTAAATGTTCCAAGAAAATGGAGCGTTTATTGCACATTATTCGAGGTATTTTTGTTCTTGAGAAGAAAAGTTTTTAGCGTTTAAAAGCACATTTTTTCCCCCTGCGTTGACCACCTGATTTCATCTGCTGCTCAGCAGAGATGACAGTTCCCACGATGCTTTGCTCGAACAGCTTAGCTCAGCAACCGGGAAAAACCAAGCCAAGACTCCAAAGACACACCCAGGAATACAACATCTGGCTTAGTCTCAGTTTCCTTATCTGTCCCATCGTATTCATCCACACAGACGCTCGCCCCACAATTTAGACTTTGTTTTTGGATTCCATCTCCCCTGATGTTAGGGTACAAACTTAGTTTATGATGGAGCTGCATGTGATTTAATATCACCGGATGATATAATGCATTTAACAATGCACCCGGGTAAATATTATCAGTGAGGAATGGCTCATAAAGTGGCATCAGTCTGCGGTAGGGATGCACAAGTGTGAGATTACGTGACGTCAGAGATGAGTAACTGACCTGATTAGACCACTTTGATAAACACTGAGAGGATTGTCTCTCACGCTCACCTCCTCTCTCTACCTTGCGTTGCCTTGCTCGTTAACTGCCTGAATGGCGCTGTGTCTGAACATTTGCTTGTATTTGAAATCATCCCCACCTTCACACAGATTGAATTAATGCCAGAGGAAGAAAATAGCCCGATAAAAACAACAGATGCACTGCATTTTTATACAGTCCCTGTGGAATCATCTAATTTCTAACCTCTGTGTTTGTACATCCCACCATCTCTTAATGCCCCTAACATACTGTAGGATGAGGGTGAATCTAAATGAAAAATACATTATTCATATTCCCACAGAGCCACAGAGGGTGGCTGCCATGCCAGGATGCCTCACCCATGCCCAGAAAGGCAAAGAAAGACAAAGCCCGCCCACACAATTTATTATCAGTTTTATTGATTTTCCCTCGTTTGGGGGTGGGGATGTCTGGCAACTATATTGTACCCAGGATCTGTTTTTTACGCTTTCAAAATAAGTTATGTGTAGCAAGTCAAAAGTCTGACTTAGTCAGACAATGTTTTTCCACCTTTTCTTTTAAAAAGATGCGCTTGAATAACAATGAGGAAGAAAGGATGATGGCGAGGAGTGAAATTTAAAAACTGGAGTAGAGAAACAAAAGAGAGAAAAACCCAAAACAAAACACAACCTCCTTCTGCCGTCACGGTATGATTTATGGCTCAGCTGGAGAATTACATGTAATGATTCAGCATGTTGATCAAGAGTTTGTACAACAGTGTGATCCAGAAATATTGCACCCGAACCCACAACAGACAGCAACGCAGATCAATTACTCCGCAGCTCCACATTGTGCATTCTGCCGTTCTACCTGCGGCTCCAGCCTATAGCCTCACTACATCACAGGATAATCATCCCACCGCTCTCTGCAACGTGCAACTCGAATGTGGATTCTTGTCTGACACACTTTAGCAGCTTTTACTGCCCCGAAAAACAAACAAACAGAAAATCAATCGTGCACATTTCTTAGTGACGCCTCAGATGAGAAGAGAGGGGAGTTCAGAATTTCTCAACCCCTCTGTTACATTTCAATATCGCTGTGTGATTCATAGGAAAGAGCCACCACGAAGACATGTAAATTATTAAGTAGTGACTTGGTCAGGCTGTGCTGTAGCTACAGAATGAGCAATTACTTTTTTCCCTCCTGGGACAGGAGGCCGTTTATGGTTTTGGGTCAAAGGGGAAGACAACCTCCACAGGGCAAAGTAGAATCAAATCCCTCAATTACTGATCTATCATTTACAGCTCAGGCTGAAACAAAATGGGGAAGCCTCTGTATGGATAGTCTGCTGTTACACAGAGTAGACATGAACAACCTGCATAGGCAAAATCTACACTATATTTTGGGGGTGTGAAACGCAAAGCCCGAGTGCCAGAATCAGGCTGCCAAAGACCGAATCTGGCCTGTTTTTGTTTTTTCGGGGGGGGTTCTGCATTTAATACAGCAGCATTTTCATAGTGTTCTAAAAACTGAGATTTACTCTTGAATTAAGACTTATTTCTATATTAAATGGGATTAAATGTGTAGTTAAATATCTTTACAGGAAACAGGAAATTCACTGGATCGGTCCACTTAAGATAAAAGTGGGCACAATGTAAAATGGGTTTAACGTTCCAGCTATAGACTATATATGAAAGATGGATATGTTCACTGTGACATTGCCCATTAGCTCATCAGGACTTTTTAAAGCCCAAATCTGAGAATTTAAGCCATAAATGACCATATTTGGACAAAAGGAAGCATTTTAGAGTTAGCTAAGTGTTAGCTAGAAGTGTTAGCTAAGTTTAAGCTAACACTAACCAGCTTGGTTGTACTGTAGACTGTATGGACACATCACAGCTACACAGATGTTTAGCATTTACATGTAAAAATACTACATTATCACTCACCAAAACTGGAGACTTTAGTACAGCTGGTCTTTTGATACAATTAACTTCAAAGTAATCAATATTATTTGCAGTTTGATGTGCGGGAAAAAATGCTAAAGACGCCATTATGTCAGTACTTTTACAGTAGTATACACAAGTATTTACACATCTATATATGCTTATAGTTTTCTTGAGGTTTCTTAATTAGTTATTTATTTTTAAAAATCTTTTTGGAGCCTTTGGTTGGGACACTCAGCACAGCTGATTCCAGGAAGGAGCTTGAAAAGGTCATTTGTTCATCCCTCGTGAGTGAGGTGGATGGAGAGGAATGACATTTATATTTGGGCAGGTTAAAGGAAGTTGGCTGATTTTAGAAAAGTAAGATATCCACATAATACATAAAAACATGTCTTCAGTGATTCATTTTGAATTGGTGTTGTTTTCTGAACGCCAACAGAATTTGAAGATCATTTGGTAAAAAGCTAGTGTTCATATTCTCACCCCGTTCCCACTCTTAGCATAACAAACCCAGAAAAAAAGAGACATCTTCATTGTCAGTGGCTTTGAATTGGAATTGCAGACACAGCTACAATATTTGCTTAAAATGGCTGGAAAGTAATGCAGACATATGGTGCAATTTAATCCACCTTGTTATAAGCAAATCTTGTAAGATCTGGCATCTGTTTCTTTAATAGGCTTAAGGAGGAAAGACCTTGCCCCAACCATATCCACCCACTGTCCTCCACTAACCTCAGGTGTTTTGTGCACGTCAATGTGTCTGCAGCAACAACAACCCGCTCCCTTAATCAGAAGCAAATCTTGTTTTCAATAATTAGCTGACAGACAAAAGGGAGAGAAACCTCATTTTCCTACGAGACTCAACTCTGCTGCAAAATCAATATAATGAATGTCTAATGGCAAGCCTGTTTGCTTCCACCAGGAAGACGTTAATGCAGAATTAAACACATGTCAGACCTATCGCATGTTCTTGTTCCCACTTTAAATTCACATCAGCTGTAAGAATTCTCACTAATAAACACGCTGCACTGAGTGTTAAATGATGTGCCATAAACAATTTACAAAATGAGTGCTATGAATCTTCTCACTTTCAAGTACTTTGTTAAATGTAAATCTTAAAAGTTACAATACTGGGAAATCCTGGCTTACAAATGCCACTGAGTTCAGTTTATTTCACCGAACCTTCTGTCTCCGATTGTGATCGCTTGCATAACTTTTACAGACGTGAATGCTTTTCTTTACTTTTCTTTGTCCCTGTTTAGTTGTGTGTGTTTTTTCTCTCCCATTCAGCTCTACAGTATCTCCAGCACTTCTGCCCACAATGATAGCGCTGAGTGGAGATAACATGCGGTGACAGAAACCCCTGGAATCCGGTGTGTGAGACGGATCATAAATGCTCATGCATCGTTGGGGGATATCAACCCCTGATAATGCAGTCATCTCACAGCGTGCTGACAGGAATGAATTGAGCCTGGAGACGACATCCTGGAAAAGCAATAGTGATAAAGAACTAATTAAAGATGGTAAAAGGTGAATATGATTTTGGGGATCTGTCAGTAATTGGTCACATGAAAGATACTGGCAGGGTGCAGACGTTGCCGCTGCTCTCCCTTATTAGGCTTTTATGTGAAAATTAATGTATTTCAACCTGGTGCCCAGGTGCTGGAGGGCTGTGCCATGGCCTCCTTGCCCCTCACAAGGTGGGAGATCCACAGAGCTGTTAGGAAGCTTCCTCTCAACAGTTTTAATTCAAAGCCACAGCTGAAAGAGACAAAGACTTAATTTAGAGGAAATTGGTTCTACAACACACAGGTGGGGGAAAAAAACTAGTAAACAAAATGTAGTCAAAGACACCTTTTTAGTTTCTGTCTGACAGTTTGAAGTTAGTATGAAGCTGCACATTGAATGGCCAGCCCATTCTCATCCCCGGGGTGTTAAATACTGCCACTTTGTTGGTTTCTCAAAGCCAATAGTGTCTTATAGGTATAGATAGGAGAGGGTTCTGGGAATACTCAGACACATATCCCAACTTCTGAAATGTGCAAACTTTACCTTTGGATCACATTTAAATGCACAGGTAGGTGCAGACTTTTAAAGCTGAGCTGCAACCTTGTCCTAAATCTAACCAAGTAGTTCTCTTTTTCTGCCCAAAATCAATCTGCAGCTAATGTAGTCGATAAAAACAAAGCCACAGTGGACACAAACCACAGTCTCCTGAAAAAACTGCATGTTTAGGCACCAAAACTATAACTTAACTTGTACTTATACTTAACTATAACTTAACTTATACTTAACTATAACTTATAATTTAAGTTTGCCTTTTGGGTTAAAGTAAGTGTTATAAAACTAAATGTGAACCCTAATTTACAAAGGCCTGTCATACTGTTCATTATCAAAAAGCAATCAGTGGTTTCCATAAAATGTTTGTGCAAAAAACAAAAGTAACGATTTAAGTATCAAAATCTGACTTATTTAATTCGGGAAGGCAAATTTCGCTGTTCATTTTTGCCTAAAGAGTTCTGCAGTCTTAATCTCACAGGAGAGGTGAGTGAAAAGAGACCTGAAAATAATTGTGTTGACTTTAAAAAAGCGTTTGAAATCCAGACATCTAAAAGTATTTGTAGTAAACATTACAAAACTGTTAAAACAGACTTCCATAATCTGACTGGCTGATATTCAAGTTACCCTGATTGTTCACATTATTACAGTGGAACCCCGACTTACGAAATAAATTCGTTCCCGAGGGTCTTTCGTAAGTCGAAGATTTTCGTAAGTCGAAGCACCCATCGCGCCTTTTGAGTGAATGATAGGCTATAGGCTAATTGCTAACTGCAACAACAACACGTCGTTCAAGTGGAACAGCGAAGCGCAAGTATGAAAGCCAAGGGGGTTGTCATGTGATTCGGAAGGGCTCATTGTGGGCTCAGCCAATCAGAGACAGCAGATTTCGCTACGCGGGCATTTTGCCGTACCACGGGCAGAAATATTGCCGTTAAGTGCCTTTGTAACTTGAATTTTTCGTTAAATGGGGTATTCCTAAGTCGGGGTTCCACTGTATTTGCATATTAAGCATCATTAAGGTGCCAGTAGTGGCAACACAGTGACACTTTCTTCGGACATAAGGATCATGCACGCTGATATTTCTTGCCTTTGTATCAATATCTGAGAAACAGTATATGGAGCTGGCTCGACTTTGACCGTAAAGATTCTGTATGCGCTGTATATAAAGCAATGGCTGTGCTGTATAGCTGATTGAAATTCACCAGTGATAGCAGAAATTTTGAGCATCACACTGCAGCAGCATGAAAGTCTCCAATATAAAAATCTATTGCCTAATTAACTGTCTTACTTGAATTAATGAAGTGGGTTGAAAAATATTCTTTAAAGGGGTAGAGCGGCCTTCAGACTTGAAAAGAATAACGTGCGCTTATTTTTTCTCAGACATATTTTTCCTCATATTTATCAAGTTCCATTGTTCTTAAGATCTACCAATCAGGGAAAAAGATGTTTTGTTAAACCATAAGAGCAGGCTGTTCAGCTCGACTGCATTTCAGTAAACTCTTAGGAATATGTACACTGACTCTCTCTCCATAGATAAAATCAAGACCAGAGTAAATGTGGAACCTTTTTTTAATACCAAACAGGGCTATTGCTCAGACTATTACAGCTAATGGCAGCTTTAATGGGTTTGTGAAATGCCTTGAAGTCTTATTAGCTTCCCGGCGAATTTTCCATCCTGTGGTTTAGTTTTACTCCTCACTGGCCAAGACACAGATAGTAAGTTTACAAAGTTCCAGCGAATTCATTTATTGTTTAATCCCTCCTCGAGGAGACAGGTGTCAGCCCGGATCTTATCGGCTCTTGCATAATGAGAAAAAATGATGGAGCTGGGTTGGATCCTGCAAAGGTCACCCGATCACACCCTCTTACAGAAACAAATGGAATTAATGAAAGCAGTTTGTCTGGACCCCTTCTCTATGTTGCACGCCTTCAGTCCTTCATTATTCTCTCTTCTTCCCTGTCCTCGTCACACACACCGCATTCACTTTCAGTGTCTCACCTCACCAGATCGCCTAACTGTGCAACTTTTACAATCACATCCAGCACATTGCGCTATCTATAAGCTGTTTCAGCAGTGTCTCATTCCCAGCTGAGTTTCATAAAATCATTTTAATAAAGTTAGACATCATCTTCGAAGGGACAAAAAATAAAATCAACCGCTTTTGTATACCAGGGAGAAAAAAAAAAGATAACAATAAAACGTACCCCAGAAACGGAACATGATTGGATTATTTCCTGCAAATGTATTCTCACAGTGGGGTAAGATATTGCAGCCTCTAATATAAACAAGAATTCAGCAAAGTTTGAACTGCTGGGTGGAAAAACTGCAGATGGGTAAAGAACAAAGGTAGCAAACAGCTTTTAGGCAGTGGAGAGGGCATGTCAGCTCAAACAATGTATTTCCTGCCTGGAGTTTTTCATCTAATCTAGTGCATTCTTAAAGGTGTAGCAAACAAGACCGAGAGAAGTGCCTGACATGGATAGTGAGCACATCAGGGTCGGTGTAGCATGGAGACTCACAATTCAGTGCTTATCGAATTTCCCTCTGGTCCAGCATGAAAGGAATGTACACCTAGCGTAGCGTGAGTTTTTCTTAGCATGTGGTAGCCTTCCTCCACAGATCAAAAGATTGTGTCCTAACTCAGACAGAGGGACAGAGAGAAGCCTCGAGGCCATGCCACCCTCAAGCTGTTTGCCAGATAGGGAATCAGATATGGAGGTTTTCTCAATGGGCTCTGCACTGTTATCACCCGTGCACAATGAATATGCTGTCATACAGAGGATTATTTCAGCTGAAAGAGGGAGAGTAGCTGAGTGAAGGTTTTTTTTTACCGGATTTTTACAAAAGATTTAGAAAAAAGGAGAAAGCCTAACGACTCTAAAGAGTTGATACATCCAGTCGATATTCTGGGATTTCACCTGGGGGGGTCTTCTGCCGTTGTGTTTTGCACTACTGACTCACAGTGTGTGTACGGAACACTGCTAAGTTTAGACTTGTGTATGGTTTCTTCACAAACGAATCTAGTTCGTAATTGGCAGATGCAAGGGGTGAAATATTGACTGTGTTTGTGCGTGCGTGCAAATGTTGCTGCGTGTCAGTGTGTGTGCGTGCGCGCGTGTGTGTGTTTGTTTTTTTGGCTGCTATCCTGGTTTCATCTCAGTGTGCTACCAAGGAGACGTAAGCCACTTCCATCTGCCTCATGTTCCAAGTTTCTTTGTGTTCCTAATAAAAGACAGGAAGTTGAGTTTAAATCAAATTTCTATCACCACACCGATCGCTAATTAAAGGATAGTGACGAGAAGAGAAAAGAAGGGAACTTTCTCTCAACTTCACTGACTGACAAATTATGGCAGAAGAGACCAGAACACCTGACTGTAAACTGACTACTCTACACAAACTGTGCAACAGATGTGTCTTGTAAAAACCAAGGTGAACTAATATTGAGATATTTTCTTTTCTTATATTCGTGTGCTCTGAGGGAGCACACAAATATAAGCTGTTAGAAATATACGTGCATTTGGAGTTTACAATATTGCACACAATAAAAATGCATTTAACCTCCTAAGACCTGAACTCTTCCACGGCATGCATTTTTAATTTCTCTTTGATATTTGGGCATATTGGGACCCGATGAATGTAAAAACAAAGAATTACCAGATTTTTTTTTTTTTTACCTTATTTTTGTTTTTAGGAAAAATAAGAGCCACATATGAGGATATTCATTTAAAATTTTGATAGAACAGTAGCAGTATAATGTCCTCGTAAGTGGACATCAGGCCCTTGTAGAGCAAAATTAAGTATTTTGGTCTAAATAACCCAAAATGTGATGTCCACATATGTGGACGCCCTTCCTAGGAGGTTAAAATATTTAATAGTTATTTAGTAATTAACATTCCTAATCTTTAAACTTTTTATTGCAGTGTTTTTTAACTAGGACAAACAAATATATATATTAAGATGAAAAAGAACATTTTTAGACATTTTAGTGACAGAGAGAAAAAAAACATTATTGTGTGACACGTCCTGTTTTTCACATCAGAAACTGGATCTATACTTGATGTATTGCTGAACATATGCTTATGAAACATCTCGCAAAACAAGTTGAAGTAAACAAATTCTTTGTTAGTCAAACTTTAGCCCCACTGAGCAGTTTGGTAGACTTTAGTGAAGGCTAAACTGGTTTACAGTTTCAATAGTACACCAGTACACAGCAGACATGGTGCTTATTATCAATGTTAGGTTAAATCAAAGTCAGCAGAGATAAATCATTGCATTTAAACTGATGTTGATTGGATTCCATCATTGAATTCTAACTTCTATACTAGCTTTTCAGTATTTTTGGCTTGCAAAGTCAGCCACCCAGGTCACCAAATCTGTGTATAATTTGAATTCAGTTGGCTAAATCCACAAAGAGCAGCACAGATCAGCTGACCACAGCCTAAATTAAATTATGTTACTCATTTCTTATTTGTAAGTAATTGTGATCCCCATGATGCACTGCACCTGATCTTAGGGTTCTGTCACCTACCAAATTCCACTTTAACCCCTGTTTACAAGTCCTATGCTTAACTGACTTGGATACAGATACAGAGACAGTTTCACCTTGGTGGTTTTTGAGAGCCAGGCTACATTTCATCAGACAATGGATGTATACATACAGATGTATATATATTTATTTAATTATTTTCAACTAATTCATGAATTAAGGCACTTCTAAAGGCACAAGAGTCAAATCTGATAGTAGGATAGTGTACTTAATAATATGTCCAGGGAGTGTATGTTCAGCTCCCTTCTGAGCAGGTGTTTAATATTCTGTAAAAGTCTGCAATCATATTGAATTCAGTGGTTATTTTCCTCTCTAGGCAGCAAAACAACAGCACTAGTCATTGATGAGATAAAGAAAACAAAATAAATGGATCACAGTCAGGGTCAGGGTTAAAGTCTGGGTTAGGGTTTGTCTAATTAAGATGTTTGGATAGAATCTACATCTTCAGCATTAATAATAAAATATCCAAATATGCATTTAAAGCTGATTCAGACTTTGGTGTGGTGTTTTAAACAGACACGACCTTTGTAATACTTTCCCATTTACATAACTGTTCAATGAAGTGAAACACCTATTCAGCTGTATCACTTTGTGTTTTTTTAAATGTAGAAATACCTTTGCTTTCATGTACCACAGCTATGTTTCCTGATAGTCAGTGTTTTGAGAAAGCTCCTGTTTTTCCCAGCTTTAACAACTCTCATGCTGGCGGCTCTTTCTACAACACATGTAATCAACAGCTGGATGCGACAGGTTCAAACATGCTGTACCTGGTACCATTTTATGGCCAGACGTAGGAAGTCACAAGAGGCAAACACATCATTACCAACTTTCTTAAATTCGACTCAAGCTAAGTAAGTGTTTGCTTTTTGCAACCAGAAACTTTTAATTGAGACAAATTCAGCTGCTTATGGTATTGTATTGGTCCACCAAAAATTAACAGGGTCCTAATTAGGTCACATTTAATAATATTTGGATTTTTGTTAACCCACTCATTTGAGAAAAAGTTCTCAACTTTATACTTTTATTGTTCCTTGTAGGGGGACAAAGAACCCCGAGGTTCAGGCCTATGCACAATATCACAGTTTTAATGAGGTGATAGTCAAATTTTGCTGTAAGTAGGAATCAACAAAATAAAGAGCAGAGTGATATCTATCA